CATTTTTTGTACAGACAGAGTGGGAGGGAGAGAGAGGAAGAGAGAGAGAGAGAGAGAAACATCGATGTGAAAGGGACACATCGAGTGGCTGCCACCTGCACGACCAACCAGGGCCGGGGACAAACTGCAACCGAGGTACATGCCCTTAGCGGGAACCGAACCCGGGTCTCTCCGGACCGCAGGCGGACGCTCTAACCGCTGAGCCAAACCGGCCAGGGCTACTGCTATTTCTTTTACTGGTTTGTAATCCTCAGTGCTGATTTTGTATAGCGTGAACTACACTATTTACATTTTCTGAAATATCATGATTTAGTTATCATCCTTGCCCAACTGGTTTCAACTTCATAGGGATTTTGGTTCTGCTAAATAATTAGGTCCCATAGACTAGGTCTAATTTATTGGCCTAGTATGTATAGGACCTTCATAGATATTTTGCATATATTATCTCAATCATCATGGCAATCCAGTAAAGTTGATATTATTGTATTGTTTTCCAGATGAGGAAATTGAGACCCAAAGAGATTGGGTGACTTCCCAAAGTCATACAGCTAGTTAATGGTGAAACTAGAACTAAAATGAGATTTGTTTAGCCCTGGCTGGATAGCTCAGCTGGATAGAGCATTGTCCTGATACACCAAGGTTGTAGGTTTGATTCCTGGTCAGGACACCAAGAAATAAATAAATAAGAGATTTTTCTGGAGGCCTGGACCATTCTTCTAGTTTCAGAGACTAAAAATATCAGGCTCTACCATCCACCTGGACCAAGATGACCTGTACGCAATATTTTTCTTTTTTATTTATTTATTTATTTTTATCCTCACCCGAGGACATTTTTCCATTTTTTGTTCAGATGGAGTGGGAGGGAGAGAGAGGAAGAGAGAGAGACAGAAATATCGACATGAAAGGGACACATCGAGTGGTTGCCACCAGCACGACCAACCAGGGTCAGGGACAAACCGCAACCGAGGTACGTGCCCTTAGCGGGAACTGAACCCGGGTCTCTCTGGACCGCAGGCTGATGCTCTAACCGCTGAGCCAAACCAGCCAGGGCCGCAATATTTTTCTTTACATAAAGATGACATGGCTGACCATCAGTACTCTCTCTGTGTGCACTGAAGCAGCTAAGACCAGCACGTGACTTCACAGGGACAGCATGTTTGGACAAGAATCATAAGGCAGAGGGAAAACAGGTTTTTACCAACAGTCGGTGTCATCAGATCCCAGTGAACCTTTACCTTCATCCTATGTTGTCTGCCTCGCAGGCACTTACCGAATGTAAAGGGACGAAGTAGACATCAATACTGAAAAATGTTCCTGGCGTTTGAAAGAACAGTTGACACTGTGTGTTCTAGTGTACCTTGTTGCATAGGGCAGTTACTATTAAAATCCACTTTTCTACTACCTTTTACCCAGGATCAATAGCAGAGTACTAAATGAGGTTCTGCTAAATGGTGATAATGACTTCTTAAAAAAATTTTAATCCTCATTTTTCCATTTATCTTCAGACAGAGTGGGAGGGAGAAAGAGAGAGAGAGAGAGAGAGAGAGAGAGAGAGAGAGAGAAGAAGAAGAAGAAGAAGAAGAAGAAGAAGAAGAAGAAGAAGAAGAAGAAATAAAGAAACACTGATGTGAGAGAGACACATCTATTTGTTGCCTCCTGCATGACCTTGACTAGGGCTGGGGACTGAACTGCAACTGAGGCGTGTGTCCTTGACTGGAATCAAACCTGAGACTCTGGTCTGCAGGCTGACACTCTAACTGCTACACCAAACTGGCCAGGGCGGTAATAATGACTTTTAATTTTATTACTATTTGAAGACTCCATCTAACTTTGACAGCCTATACTCTCTCTTATTTTTAATATTCCTGTGGAACCTATAGACTAAAGTACTTCATAGCCCTTGATTAGTTACTATATTACACTCCACAGTACATGAACTTGACCTGTCCCAACCTGAATGCAAGCCCTCGGTTATACACTGAATGTAAGCTTAACCAGCTATAAGCTCCTTCAGGGCAGACTATATGGAACTTCCACATCTTTTCATTGATTGATAAATTCTTTGGTTTTTTAAAACTGTTTTATTTTTTTAAAATCACAGAATAAACATGTATTCCTTGTAAAAAGTCAAATCATAGAAAGCATGTAAAGACTAAGCAGAAATCCCCTCTTTCCCCTTCCCCTCCCCATAATCCCAAGAGCTAGCCACTCACTGGAATTTGTTATGTAGCCTTTCAGAGTTTTGCTAGACATAGTCAAAATGTATGAACTTAAAAAATTGGGATTGTACTATATACTGTCCCCAACCTTTTTTTAACACAATAATTATTAATAGAAAATTCTATGACAATACATATATAGATCAACATTCTCTCTCTCTCTTTTAATCCTCACTCGAGGATATTTTTAGATTTTATCTTCAGACAGAGGGGGAGGGAGAGAGAGAGAGAAACATCCATGTGAGAGAGACACATTGACTGGTTGTCTCCTGCACGACCCCAACCGGGGCTGGGAACTAACCGCAACCGAGGTACGTGCACTTGGCCAGCAGCGAACCCAGGACTCTTTGGTCCGCAGGCTGATGCTCTAACTGTTGAGCCAAACTGGCCAGGGCTACAGTCTCACTTTCTATCAGCTTCATATTACTCTATTGTATGCATAGACAATCACTTATTTAACCAGTTTCTCTTGATAGACATTTGCCACTTTAATTACAGGTGGAGACAAGCCTCCACAAGCTGGGCCTGAGAGGCCCACTGTGACCTCACAGAGCCGTGGTGGGCACCAGGGGTGCAGGAGAAGCTGGGGTGCTGGTGAGGCAGTGGCGCAAGCTCTGCTCCAAAAACAACACACAGCCACTCCTCATTGGAGGGCCCTTCCTCCCCGGGGACAGCCTGTGACCTTACACTGTCAGCAGGACCCGGTGGTTAAGTCGATGTGGCCCTCGGCCCCTCCACCTGCCCCTCCTCATAGCTGAGACCTCTTCTTTCCCACCTTTGGTCTCAGTCCTGTCCTCATGCCCAAACCCGAAGGAGCTGCTGCTGGTGACCACGGCTCAGCACCCAGCCCTCTGGGCTCGCCGTCTGAGCGGGTGCCCCCGTTGTTCCTACGCTTCAGTACATGTTTAGACTCAGGAAGCAGAAGCTCTGAGTGAATGTGAGGGAGGAATGATAGCTTTGTTTTTCACCAGGGAAAGGCTGAGAACTCAGAGTACTTTTAGGAAGGGTTAACTGTCACGGGCCAAACGACCCCCGAAATTATACAGGAGAAACTGCCACAAAGAGGTGCGAAGGCCAAACGCACAGGTTGCTCTGAGGCTGGCTGGGACTGGCGCAGACCAGGGGCTCCCCGCTGGACAGCGAGGGGCAGGAGAAAGAGGAAGTGCGGGTTATGAGCTCCAGGAGCCTGTGGGATGCAGCTCCATGGGTCCCCCGAGCTTCTGGCTGTCCCACGGGGCAGGCTCCCTGGGTGATTCGTACTGCTTGGTCCGAAGACAGAATCCTGGGAATTGCTGCTGCACTGTATTCTGACGCGCATGTCACAGATTTTAAAAAGATGGGAAATAATGCTTCAGGGAACTAACTGTATGTCACTCACAGTTTGAGAAGTTACCAACAGACCTCTGAAGAGAAAAGCAGAAGAATTGCTTTGCTTGTTTCTAGTCTCCCCTCCAACCTGTATTTATTATTGTTGTTGTTAATCCTCACCAGAGCATATTTTTCTCGTTGATTTTTTAGAGTGGAAGGGAGGGAGAGCGAGAAAGAAACATCGATATGAGAGAGACACATTGCTTGCCTCACCTGTGACCCTGAGTAGGGCCCAGGATCAGGCCCAGGATCAAACAGATGCTGCCACAACTGAACCGCACCGGCCAGGGCCTAATCCCTTCTTTTAAAGCTTGAATCCCTTCTTTTAAAGCTTGAGCATGTTTACTCCACATCCACCTTCCTCCCTCTCCTCACCTGAAGATGTGGCTTTACTATAAAGCCATGTCAATCAAGCCATGTTTTTAAAGCTTATGGGGACCTTGGGGTATTGGTAAGCTGCTAAGCTGAGAAACCCAGGGAAGGGAGGAGGGTGGATGAGGCTGAGGAAGGAGGAGTTGCCTTCCTCAGCTACATGACAGTTACTCAAAGGACAGCCCTGCGCAGGTGGTGCTGTGCTGGCCTCTGCAGGTAGTCACTGGTCCAGGCAGGACAGCCCCGCAGTCACTGGTTGCCAAGTAGGGCAGAGGGAACGTCTCCGAGTCCAAGGGACAGGGAAGCACTTTATAAGGAGGACCTACCTGGTCTATTTCTCGCTCTAAAAAAAAAAAGTACATTCAATTTTTCCTTTTCAGGAAAAAGAAATAGGGAAAATTAGTAGAAGGAGAAAGGGAAATGTTGGTATTAGTGAAGTGTTGGCATTTTGAACATTCTATCAGGCGTTTATTTTAGTGGAAACAGCTAACAAGTCCATGTCCAGGGGAGAACGAACCCACCACACTGCAGGGATGGACCGAGGCAGAAAGGCTGCCCTGCTCCACCCCGGCCTCTCCAGGCCCCTGCAGTCCCGCCCTGGCCGTGTGCGGCCAGCTCCGCTTGCACGTGCAGACCAGAAGAACAGGAGAAGGGGGCTAAACAGTGGGCTGTGTTTCTCTGTTTGCAGATTTACGTGACTCAGTCTCCACTGTAGGGAGGAACCAGCATCTTGAGTTAGAGAAAGGGGATGCAACCTTCCAGTGGTGGGCTGAAGCAGTACTGAGCTGGGAGGCATCTCCCGCCCCAGCTCCAGCTCTGCCACCGTGAACTTGGACACCCCTGGGAAGGAGACATACTAGCTTGTACATATATGATGCAAGGGGATTAGATTAGCTGATCTCCAAGGTCCATGAGATCAGATTAGAAGTTCAGTGAAATGCTTGTAGCAGGCATTAAATAGGGAATTTTAAATTGAATTAGTTAACAAATAAACAATATTTTAGAATTAAAAGAGAGTATCTAAGGAGACTTTGGCGTTACCTGTCATGTCTCAGTACAGGTGTAGGCAGCACGCTCGTCAGGAGCCACCCAAACTCAGCCAGCGTGTGCAGCAGAGGGCCGTAGTCTGTCTTGATTTCACAGCCCTGCGGGAACAAGAGCTCACAGTCACACGGCAAAGACAACCGGCCACGCAGGTGATTACAATGAAGAGCGGCAGGCGTTCCGACGAGGGGAGTTTGTACTGTGTGGAGTACAATTTCCTGGGCTGCATTTTCTGCTACTTGCTGCCTTCTAACCCTTGAACCAAGGTTGAAACACTGGGATCAGAGCAGAGGGAGGTTTTTGTTCTCCAAAGTCTAGGCTTTCTTTGGGTCTTGTTCTGTAATCAAACACTAATGGGGGTTGGGGGTGGGAATCTGCATTTTAAATAAGCTCCCCAGGTGATTTGGATCGAGGTAGTTTGCACCTGTCTAGGGACTGGGCCTTGAGGACAGGAGAGGAGAGTGCAAACTGGGGACTGGAAGGGGAGAGGAGCTTAGACTTGGTTTTTATATTTTATTTTTTTAGCTTAAAACCGAAATTGATTTTTCCTTGGAGCTTTACTTCTTTCCCAAATCCTGTTTATTCCTCTCAATGGGATTTCTAGTTTCTTTCGGGGGGGGGAGGAAGAGGGCTATGTCTCTAACCCTTATTAGACCAGAAAGGCAAAAGTGTCCATGACAGAGCCTGTCAGAGAAGGCTTCACACACACGCGGCGACAGAGGACTTCAGGCGCCCAGCCCAGTGGTGCCCTGAGTCCCGAGTGCCCAGCAGCATCGGCGCCAGCTCCGCTCAGGGAGGACCAGGCTGTGTGCCCATTTGGCTCGGTGAGAGAGAACACCTTCTGGATACCTTTGCTTTGATAGCTCACGAGGTAAAATGTCAGTGATATTGGTAGATTGGAGACAAGGTGTTAGTTATTGACTGAATTTTTCACTTTCAATCAGTTGTCACCGCATTGTGTAAAGAGAATGTCAGTGCCAGAGACTCTGTTTAGGATTAGAATGCCAGTCTTTGGGAATATACTGCTATTTATGTATAGATAATTATTTTGCTGTCTTATAAGAAAGTTGGATATCAGGTGATGCAATGTTCACAGATCTGAAAGGAGTTTGTTCATGCATCTGTGATGACATTCTGAACATTGCACAACCTGCTGGGAGGAGACTTCACATGTAAAACTAAATATAAAAGTAAAGCTAAATTGTCAGAAAACTGCAGGTCACCTCGATAACAGTCCATTGTTCTACTACGATGGCATCATTTCCTTTTCTACTGGAACCTGGAACTCCAGAACCTTCTTCTTCATAAATAAAGAATCCTTCCAGAGACTTAGGCAAATGTTCCCCTAAGGAAAAGGATACAATTAAGAAGAGTGGTAAAGACAAATATTTCTTAAGATCATCTCAATACTTATATAACCCATGTAGGAAGCAGAAAGAAAAACAAATCCATTAATAAACACTTGTTATGGCTGAATCAGCAACATCCCCCTGTTCTTTGAAGGTTAATTTTTTTTTTTTTTTGCCAAGATCAAGACAGTTTTATATTTCACTGAATTAAAATCAAACTATAAACATGAAAACTAAAAAACAAAAACAAACAAACAAGATAAAATAATATACACTGAGAAGCAAGTAGATTTCCTAAGCCTAAATTGAATTTTGGTTTCTGATCTGTATGTTGTATGCCTGTTAATTATACCACGAAAAGAATCAACATAAAAAATATCAATCCTTGAAATTTACAGGTGTGATATTAAGACTAGTGTGAGGTAAAATTACTTCCAAAAAATTATAAACACAGACCAATTCTTTACTTCAATGATGCTTAAAAAAAAAAAAAAAAATGGTAACAGGAAGATTCTAAACAGAAGTCATTGTCAAAAGAATTCCTGCTGGGAAGGAAGTCTGAAGGGAGGGCCTCGCTGACATTTTCTTGAATAGCTGACAATAACCATCTGGCCAAATCTACATTGATTTTATGGAAGTTCTTTTGTCTCAAATTTTGCAATAGGAGACAATTTCCCATGGTCACAGGTGGTCACACATCTTGGTTCTTATGTGGCACAGTGTGTCACATCCAAGTTTCCCTGGTTGACAGTTATCTACACAACAAAGGCCTACAAAGTTTTCAAATGCCCTGCTAAACTCAAATATAAAAAAGACAAAAATACTTCCAATATAATTTTTAAATTTTTATTAACAGAGAAAATAATTTTATTATAATTTTCACATCCCTGAGAGTTAAAGCAGAATATCACAGAGATTTACACTGTTCAGAGTGGTTTCCAACAACCAGTAAAGTTTAATTTACTAGTTGAAAATGGTTTTCTGAGCACAGTGTATGCCCCATTTCCTTTCACTGTATTTGACCATTGTCACACCCAAGTGACCAGAGGAATCAAATCTGCTTCTGATGGTAAATTCAGGGCATCACTAGACCATCATTAATAATGTCTATGTCCTAGGTTCTTTTTTAGAATAGGGGTATGAATTTTAAAAATAATTATATACTTTGATAACAATGTCATTATTCATAATCTCTTTACTTTGGGTTTATATAATGTGAGATCCACAGGTTTCCTTGTTCTCAGTACTGGGGTTCCCTAGTACTTCTAAACTTTTAGTTTGGAAGAAAGAGTGGTAGACTCAGACGATGCAACCCTGAGAATGAAGAAGACTCGCTGCTGTGCAGGAACATGGATGCAGTTCAGAGACACTATGTTGCGAAAAGAAGCCAGAGAGAAAAGCTGTAAAAGATTACATACTTTATACTTCAACTACCCGAAGTTCAAGAACAGGCACAGTTAATCTGTGGTGTTGGAAGTCTGCTGCTTGTCTCTGGGTGGGAGGGTATCGGCTGGAAGGGTCACGAGGAGGCCCCTTTGGGTGTTGGGAATATTCTGCATCTTTTTTGGTTTTGTTTTTGCATTTCTCTTCTTCCCTGGGTTTATTGAGGTATGTAATAGACATGATTTTTTCCAGCTTCATTGGGATATAATTGACCTATAAGGAAATGTTCTGTATCGAATAGTTGTACACATAAGTGCACTGTTTGCATAAGTAAGTGCAAGGTTATACTGATGTAAACTTAGAGCTCCCCAGGGCCTGGCTGGCTTGCTTAGGGCTCATGCCAGTCCCCAGAGCCACAGAAGACTGGCACTTCACAGGAGGAGTACGTGTATCTTTTGAGAAATTGCCCCTAACCGAAGTGCAGCTAGGGAGGGCGGCACGGAAGTTCTCATGGGGAGTGATCACTCAGGTGTTTGGTGTGTTAAATCTTCCAGGCAATGGGGTGAGGTGATCATTCTAAACAATTACTTAATAACTGTCCCCGAACTGAGTCGCCTTTTTTTTTTTAATTAAAAAAAAAAATTTTTTTTTAATCCTCACCCAAAGACATTTTTGCATTTATCTTCAGACAGAGTAGGAGGGAGAGAGGGAGGAATGTCAATCTCAAATGTCAATGTGAGAGAGACACATCGACTGGCTGCCACCACGCGACCCTAACTGGGCCGGGGACAAACTGCAACCGAGGTACGTGCCCTTAGCGGGAACCGAATCCCGGACTCTCCGGTCCGCGGGCCGACGCTCTAACCGCTGTGTCAAACCGGCCAGGGCCTGAGTCACCTCTTAATGTTACACATCCCGGAACTTCCCTCTCAGTGTGCCTTGGTCCACTGGTGTTCCGAGATTCGGACACAGGTGTGCCAAGATGCAGGCGCCCCTCCCGCCCAGAGCCGCTTTCTCCACTACGCCGTGTGCCCTCCAATGTTACCAGTTTCTATGTGTGCATAATATGAAAAAGTTACTAAGCACTGACACAGTGCTTCTCAAAAAATATATATTTTTAAAAGCCAAATACCCATAGCAAAGGAAAAGTGCATTTGTGCCCTGGCCGGTTTGGCTCAGCAGTTGGAGCATCGGTCTGCGGACCAGAGAGTCCTGGTTCCCGCTAGGGGCACGTACCAAAATAAATAAATAAATAAAAATTAAAAAAAAGAAAAGAAAAGTGCATTTGTATTGATGAAGGATAGTCTCCAGGTATAGTTTGAAGTGATTTGTGGCAAGCATGAAGTTTCTTTAAAGTCTAATGTTTATCTTATAAAACCAGGCAAACTTTGCTTTCTTTTCCAATATATTCATACAGTGTAAGGAAGTAATGTTCTCCCCTCTGCCCTCTTGAAGTAAGATTGGCACTCTGGCAAGAGGTGTCTCTGGGGGCGTCTGTGCTCCCTGGCACAGGGCTGCAGGCCCCGCGGGCACCTGGATCCTGGGGTGAGAAGCACAAGCTTGAAGGATTCCCAGGGACTAGTTTACTTGTCTGGACATGTGATCGTACACATTCATCTCAGCTAGATATGACACTGACATTCCAGTAAATGTGAGCAAGGGTGATATTCCCTGTCAGTATTTTTGGTCCACGTGTCATTGTTGGCGTTAAACTGCCTGAAGGTGGTCCAGGACCATCTTGGAGAAGTCGAGGCAAGCGCTCGTCTCCAAAATGCACCTCAGCCTGTCCACTGTCCACCCCGCCATCCTCTGTACGGACCACTGCGCCAGCTCTTCGCAGTCTCCCACTTCCACTCCTGCCGTCTGGGATCCATTTCCCAGATGAGGCCAAAGAGGTTCTTCGAAAAATGCAGATCAGATCATAACTGCTTCTTTCCATTTGTAATGAATGACTTGGAATAAATGTCCTGATAGGATGGCAAACTGCTTAAGAGCATACACTCCACCCAGGTGCCCCCTTCTAGTTGTGTGATAGCTCTGTGCCTCAGTTTCCTCATCTGTAAAAGGGGAACAATCGTACCTCCCTCCTAGCGCTGCTGTGGGAATGAAATGAGTTATAACCGTGAGCGCATACAGCGATGCTGGCACACGGCAGGTACCGACACACGGAAGCCCTGGCTGCACTACTTGTGATGAGACTGCCGAGGGGCTGCTGCTTACCTCCCCCTCTGGAGCCATTCTCTCTCCAGCCACGGAGACCTCCTCCCGGTTCCTCTTTCCTGCCCTAGAGTTTCTGTTCACTTGGGCGATTCCTCCGCCCAGAACTGTCTGCCTCTGGCTCTCCGGGCTGGCTCCTCTCCAGCCTTCCTGTCTCAGTGGGACGGCCACCTTGTCAGACGGGACCTCCTGACCACCCCTCTGTGTGGGCTCTTTCCTGCTGCTCTCATTACAATACCCTGTTGGCTAACATTACAACACTTTTCTCAATTTTGGAAGCAAATATATTTGTTTTGATATTGTTCCTGCTGATGCCACATGGCTAGCTCCTTGTGGCAGGGAAGATGTCCAATTTACTCATCGTTGTAAGCCCAGGGCCCGGCATATACATATATGTGAAGTGAGTAAGTACATGTCTCAATGTCTTTACTTTATCCCACTCCTCATTCTGCTACATCTCCTGCTAATTCCACACAAACATTTTATAGGGGTGAAGAGACTGAACAGAACAGCAAGTGAAGTCTGAACAGAATTCATAAAGAACAGAGTGTAGCCTTCAGATGTGGGCTATGCTAAGCCGGGAGGAGACCGCGCTCTGAGGCGGAAGGGGCACCTGCACACTGGGGACGCGTGTGTGTGCTCTGTACCAGTGGGAGAAGCTGCCCATCTTATCCCATGTCAGCTGCCCGCCGAGTCTGTATGTCCTGGTAGATAAAGTGTCTGTGTGGTTGCTCAGTGGGTTGACTCTCCTGGGTCCATCTGGAGGTGTTAACCCCACTGGGCAAACCTCGAGTAAGTGGGGTATATTATGGTGTAATATATTTAAATTTCTGAGCAATGTCTGGTTTTGTACTTCTATTCCTTGTAGTGGGCTGACTTCTGACAATATTTTGAAAGAGAATGGAAGCAAGACAAAACAAAACGTGATTGTCCCACGAGCTTTAGATGTCAGCATCAGCTCTCCCAGAACAAAGCCACCCATTCAGCCCTGCTTCCTCTTGACTTGCTTCTCACAGTGACACAGGCATTGGTCACAATTTCCCTTCTGCAGCTCCCTGCAGACTCCCAGGAAAGTCCCGAGAGACACACCCGATGGCCAGACCCCACAGACTGAGGTGGCTCGTCAGGGGCTTGGCGTGTCCTGCAGTGTGAAGAGTCTGGTGACGTCCCAGCGCTGCTGAGGAGAGGCTGGGCCCCGCTCTCTAAATAGCTCCCGTGGCTTTAAGAACAAAAGCCCTACAGAGCCTCTAACTGGCAACTGCTGTGGCTGATTTTATTTTCATCAGGCAAATGCCTGGAAGAGACTGTGAAAGGAGTATTTTTTGTTTTTCCTTCAGCAGTTAGTCACAAACCACAATTTGAAATGGCTCCAACTTAGACCCTTTGGAGGGCAAGAAAAGGAGAGAGAAGGGGAGGGCGGGAAACGTGAAGCATGAAGCGACCTTCAAACAGAAGACCCACACTGAGGGAACTGTGACTGCACATAACGTGTTGGGAAAGAAAATTACCCTCAGAAAATGAACCCCCATGGTGGGCGAGGCACTGTGGGAGTCCCTCTGCACATACTGTATCTTACTAAATTCTCACAATGATAAAGTAGGAGTATTTTTTTTTAAGTTTTTGTAAGAGAGAGAGGGACGAAGAGAGAGATAAAAGCATCGATGTGAGAGAGAAACATCAATCGGTTGCCCCCTGCACACCCCCTCCTAGGGATCGAGCCTGCAAACCAGGCATGTGCCCTGATTGGGAATTGAAGCAGGACCATGCTAAGTCCACTGAGCCACACTGGTAGGAGTATTTTTAAAATTAAAATTTATTTACTTAAGTACAGTTGGTATACAATCTTATATGGGTTATATTAGTTTCGGATGTACAATATAGTGATTTGACATTTTTCTACCTTAGGGTGTGATCACTCCACTACTTCTAGTGAACATTCTCTCACTGTGCAAACTTAACACAATATTATTGACTATATTCCTTTTCTCCTCTTTCACCCTTCCCCCACCTCCTCCCTTCTGGTGACCATTCCTTTGGTCTCTGTTTCTGAGTTAAAGTAGGGCTATTTTTATCCCCCTTGGAGGAAATGGGGGCTCAGTGAGCTCAACTAACTTCTTCAGATCACACAGCTAATATGTAGAGAACATAGGATTTAAACCCTGGTCTGTCTGCTCTTAAAGCCCATGCTCTTCCTATTCGATCAACTGGGAAGACATTTCCAATAGCCAAAAAATACTAAAAATATTTCTTGAGCACCTGCTGTGCCAAGCCCTATGCAAGGTGCCCGGTCCTTAACCTTGGTTGTTAGTTAAAAGGATCTGCTAGAACATGACACCTGATCATTTAAAATATCCACCCAAAGTTTTCAGTTGTATTAGTGAAGTCATTACTAGACTGACTTAAGGATAATGAGGTATATTGAGATCTGATCCTATTTACTTTTTCATTATTTTCTCTGACCTCATTGAGTTAGGGTCCCCCCTTATTCTGGTTTTCAGAACCTCCGTCCTTCCTTGTTTCCAGCCTCCTCACTATCTATTTTTCTTTTCTTTTAGCACTAATCTCTTTTTAAAAACACTTTCCCTAGAAAGTCACTTTTGGAAAGTTTTGTTTGTTTGCTTTTTTGTTTTTGGGACATAGATGAATGATTACAGGTTCCACTGTAACTAGAAGAGGAAGACTAGAGACATGAAAGACAGGGGAGGCAGAGACAAATATGGGTCAATATCACTTTCTGAAGCAAACATTTTTTTCCAGACAAAGTTTAGAAAGAGTCTAGTAAGTAGTGTTCAAAACTGGGATAGTGTAGCCCTGGCTGGTTTGGCTCAGCAGTTAGAGCATCAGCCTGTGGACCAAAGAGTCTCGGGTTTGATTCCGGTCAAGGGCACGTACCTGGTCTGGGTCGTGCGGGAGGCAACCAATCAATGTGTCTGTCTCACGTCCATGTTTCTCTCTCTTTCTCTCCCCCCATTCCCACTCTATCTGAAGATAAATGGAAAAATATCCTCAGGTGAGGATTAAAAAAAGAATAAAATTGGGATAGTGTAATAAATTCGGATAGTAATTCTCAAATGCCACTGTAAGCCTCCTGATTGGGTTGTAGTAGTACATCATATTTGGAAAATCCTACTAGTCACTCACACAGTGGTTTGTCTAGCCCTGACAGTTACAACCCAACAGCAAACCACACAAGATGGTGAAGCTTTTAAATTAAAGCAACATAACTGTTTAAGGATTGGAATCTATTTCCTTAGGAATAATATCTGTCCTTTTAGACATAGAACTTGAGAGGCAAAAACATTTCCACCAACTCTAACGCACAGATATTTTTTAAAGATATCAATACACCATAATTTAAAACTTACCTTTATGTGTTTCCCAGCATACAAAAGAATCAATTAAAGATAAGCCTTGCTTATAATAAAATGTAGTTAACTCCAGCCAATCGGCATCAAGTGTACTAATGACAGATCCTTTTCTTGTTACTTTCACTGACAGGATGCCCTCCTGATAGGTCCAGCAGGTTGATTCATCATCAAACACATTGAAGACTATATACAACTTGTTATCTGAGGATAGGTGTTCAGAAGGAAGAAAAAAGGAAAAAACTGTAATTTCATTGAAAAGATTCTTAAAATATTTTTTATCAATCACTAGCTGTTCCAAGCACATAAACAAGCATAGAGAATAATAGCATTGCGTGCCACTCGGCTTTTGCAATGTTAACATTGTGCCGTGTTTGCTCCAGACTTTTTCAAGGAATTAGGACATGGATGTTGTTGAGGCTCACTGTGTAATCTTCCCCTATCCTATTCTCCAGAAATAGCTACTATAATGAATTTGGTGTTTATCATTCTCATGCAAGTGTTTATTATTTTAATATAGATTTATATACCCACAAATATATATGATGTTTTGCAGTTTTAAAAAACTTCTAAAAGGTGGTATGATACTAAACATATCAATCTATAAATTGATTTTCTTGTTCAATATTATGCTTCTGAAGTATAATTAATACTTTATAGATTTTATCCACTTAGTTTACACAGTTTTCCAGTTTACTATTCTCTACTGATGGACATATACACTGCTTCCAAACTTTTGTTACTGCAAACATTACTCGTGTCTCCTCGGACACATGTAAGAATGACTCTAGAATACATACTTAGACATGGAATTGCTGGGTCACATGTCATACTTTATTGTAAGTTGGAAAACTTGATTTGGGGCAGGTGTCTATGTGACAGTGCTTTAGAAAGCCTAGCACCTCTTGCGTTACAGACCCGAGTACTTGGGTGTATGTGTGCATTTTTCTGGGTTGAATCTCACAAATTTCATCAGATTATCTAAGAGGTCTTCAATGTGTGTCTGCTCCCCCCACCTCTCTTAGTGGTTCTAAGAACTACTGCCATGGAAAAGTCATTAAGAAGTATATGAGTTAAAAACAAATTATTTAGAAAGTGGAATCTAAAGATTGATACTTAAATTAGGTAGGTAGCATATAGGGTTTAGAACTTAAAGCACTGGAGTGAGACACCTGATCCAATCAAGGTCCGATGGGAACCAGCAGTTCGAAGGTAGCAGTGGACAAAAGATAGGGAATAGCTCTCTGCCCACAGCTCCAACCCTTGCTCCCTGTTGTATTCCGACATTTGTTACACTGCAGGGGGATCAGGGTGGTCGTCAACTAGGGAAGTGGTGGTAAGCATGGGTGAAATGATGAGCTGGGAAATGCTCCTGTTTTTTTTTTTTAAAAAGATAGTGGTGACTGGAGTTGAATGGGTCTTTGTCGTCTCAACCAGAACCCAGAAAGCTGAGGTCGCCAGTGTGAGCAGCTGCAGCACCAACACTGATAAAGGGATCACGAAATAGTAGCTAACTTAATACAGAGTTTATTCTGTGCCAGGCCCTGAGCTAAGTACTTTGTAGACATCTCTTTTCTACTTCTCACAACAACCCCTTTTCTATAAAGAAGTTGAGGTAATCTCATTCTTATTCCAGAAGTTAAGTATGTTCTTAACTCTAAGGTTATACCCAGTCTTTAATTTTCTCTAATAGTGCTTTTTAAAGTATGCCTGTTAAGGCACCAGAAAACTGAACAGTCCAAAAACATGAGAAATATACTCTCAGTTTCTCTGAAAGACTTGCTAGTTGGCTGAGAAAAATAAAACTATTGTTTAAAAATATTTTAGGATGCAGGCACTATTGTTACATTAATTGTTTCACCATGATGTGCTATTTTCATATTCTAGTTGATGATCAAAGAAACCAATTAACTTCAAGGGTGGAAACCATCCATGAAATGGGAAAGGCCAAAACTAAAATTCTCACACCCTGTTTATAAGGACAAACATAAGTCAGAATAGCTTTCTTTATAGAATCACCCTTTTGATACATATGCAGAGCTTTCATTTTACAGCGGAGCTGGTGAAGGTCTAAATGGAAAGCAATTTTCAACACAAAGTGTAATTATGTGGGTGACACAGTAAGACCGTGCCGGAGTCACCTGTTTGAAAAGCAGCCCTACCTTCTTTCTGACTATAATAATTTCAAAGAATCGAGACAAGTTTATATTAGTTTATTTAGTCATTATAACCTTTAGCAATTTCCTTTGTCTCCTATTTCTGAAAAACAAATTTTGCTAAATTTAACCCAATAGACGCTCTGTTTCCACTGATCTTGTCTATTACCTTCTCCCTTTTTTGATTTGGAGGAACTGGGGCTGCCGTCTTGTTCCATTTGACACTGTCCACTTTCGTGATGAAATTCTTCCTGAATTCCACTTTCAGAGGATTGCCCACTTACTGTTCCTTCACTCCAGCTCTTACAGTTTTCGTCTGCTGCGTGTCTTGCATGCAGTGCAGGTTCTCGGTCTCCCTCGTGGGCTGTCCCGTTGCAGAATGGTGGGCAATGCTGTGATATGAATCCAACGAATCTCATTCCTCTTTTAGAAGCTACATTAATCTGAGGGTTTAAAAGAGAGGGTAGAACAAAATATAAATTTCATTTGAATTGATTACTTTATCAATTAACCTTCAGGCTTATTAAGGAAATCCACTAGAAGGAGTCAGTTTACCTGTCATTGAAGATCCATTCATGAACAAATTAACAGCCTCTAATAAAGCACTACGCCTAAGACTATGTCATGTGATTTCTTCAAGCAGAACTAATACACTTTAAAAATCATAAGAAACAGGAGTCATATTTTTCTTTAAAAGATTATTTGAGAAGAACTAATAATTCTATAGCATAATTTTTGCAGACCTGTTAACAAATGGTCTTTCCAGTTGAGGCAAAATTAAAAACTATTCCAAGAAATCCTCAAAAATAACATTACCAACACATCTTTTTTTTTTTTTTAATCCTCACCTGATGACATTTTTTGCATTTATCTTCAGATAGCGCTGGAGGGAGAGAGGCGGGAAGAGAGAGAGAGAAACATCGATGTGAGAGAGACACATCAACTGGTTGCCACCCACAAGACCCCAACCAGGGCCAGGGACAAACTGCAACCGAGGTACATGCCCTTAGTGGGAACCGAACCCAGGACTCTCTGGTTCACGGGCTGACGCTCTAACCAATGCGCCAAACCAGCCAGGGCTACCAACACATCTTAATTACTAAAAAAGATATTGGTTAAAAAGCAAAAAATACAGTCGTTCAAAAATAATGTGATGATTCATAGTTTGACATGAGTATAGAAAAATATTAAAAGATGAATTCTTGACAAATGTGTATATATAATGCATAAGCCCAATTCATACTACCTCTCTAGGAAGCTTTCTGATCTGCTTATAGCTTGATGCTATTGTCGCCTATCTGGGCCATAAAAAACATGATTAGATACAATCCTATCAGTTAAAGAATAGGATTCAGAAGCACATGGCATGATTCTAGTGAAATAATTTCAAACATTGTTTTTTTCATGCATAGCCCTTTTCCTTTTCTCTGCTTTTGCTTAATTTCTTTGTTCTTTTTGTGTCCATGTCTATCCCCCTCCCCCACCTTATTAAACTGGTAATTAATTTAAGGGCAGGACTGCGTCTTATTCATCTTTGTATTGTAATGTTTTGTACCTATAGGCGCCCTATAAGTAATTGTTAAATAAGGGGAAATAAGGAACAAGCAATGTCTTTTACGTGGTCATTGTTTTAAACATTTAAATAAAATGTTTAAAATGTTACCTGGGAGGGGAGGAATAAGTTATGCTGGAGGTTGCAAACGTAAACATTTATAGTCAGAAATGAAATGGAGTGAAAAAGGCCAGGAAGAAGTGAGGCTAAACCAGCAAGCAATGTCTAATCAAAGCAGGTGACTGTAATATCGCTTCTGCTGATGAGAAGAGTTCTGAGAAGAATGGAGAATGTGGGTGTGTGAGCGAGGATAAAGGACTATGTGGACACATAGTCATTTATTTACTCCTATCATTTATTTACTCCTATACCTTAGCACACTGACACTGTAACGATGCATGAAGCCTTACAAATAATCACAAGTTGTCCTTTGCATCAGGTGTCCTGGGAGAGGAGAGGGAGGTGGCAGGGAAGCATCCTTTACCTGGCATTCTGCAGGTGGGCACAGACTCATCACTGCCAGTGTTCTCTCTGGGCCTTACTAAGTGATTTGGTTGAAAACGTGCAGACACCTTTTTCTATTAGAAAGTTTTATCTGGAAAAGTCTGGTAACAAAGAGACTGTATTAATTAGTCTTTTCCATTTTTTAAGTTGGAAGATTGATATTTTCCAATGTTATCTTTATTTAAAAATCCTGGGAAAACATGTGTAAACCTAATTTTACAAATAGAGCAACCATTGATATGTTAAAATGACTTAAAACCTAGCTGTTCAACAGTCAACTCTCTATATAAGGCAGTCGTTCAAAACTAACATTTGGCGTTCACGTATTGCTCTTACTCATGCACGGGGCAATGTTCAAATATTTCATGCACTATGTTTCCTGAAGCTTTTCTCTCTATGAAATAGCCCCATTACTCTAATTGCTGAAATAACAGTACTTTCCTGTTTAAATAGATCTTTAACTGTCTCCAGGAAGTCAAATGCAAAACAAGAGCTCTGATGGTAATCTATTAAGACTAAATGAGTAGTTATATTTTTGTTTAAAAACAAATTTTCTGGAGTGGACATATTCCCAGAAAAAAAAAAATTAAAATTTCCCAGAATTGTAGTAGTAAACAGTACGTGTACCTTGTTTATAAAAATCTAGGCTCAAAGACTGTTCCTGAAAATCTCATCGAGTTTATACCGAGATAGGAAATATCCTTAGCAGCGACCACTGGCTGTACACAGACCACAGGTACTCCCACAGCCATTCACAGCTTAGGGACAATACTAGAAACGGAACAAGCCCTACAGTTTCTTACTGAAAAGGGAATGCCTTAGATCTTTGGTTGTATTCATTTAAATAAAAGCTAAAACCTTACAAATATGTCAGTGCAACTAAAAAGAAAACGAGCATAAAATACCTTCAGTTGAGAATACTTGTCAAGCCCTGGCTGGTTTGGCTCAGCGGTTAGAGCGTGGGCCTGCGGTCCTGAGAGACCCGGGTTCGGTTCCCGCTAAGGGCATGTACCTCGGTTGCAGTTTGTCCCCGGCCCTGGTTGGTCATGCGGGTGGCAGCCACTCGATGTGTCCCTTTCACATTGATGTTTCTCTTTCTCTCTCTCTCTGTTCCCCTCTCCCCCCCGCCCCCCACTCTACCTGAACAAAAAATGGAAAAAATGTCCTCGGGTGAGGATAAAAAAAAAAAAGAATACTTGTCAATGTTTTCTTCATTTTAATCACTATACATATAGTGTTCAGTTTTTCATTTAAGTTTCAATTAGGTTATGTTGTCTCGATTGACAGTCAATAGAGTTGTCATGTTTAATAACCGTAAAATAGTCCATTGTATTGATATAGCATTGCCGCCTCAGTTTCCCCGTTAATGAGAACTTGGCCCCTGACTCACTATTGTTTAAAATATCTTTGTATAGAAATGACCTTTTCCCTTCTCAATTAATTTTTTAGAATAGATTCCTAAAGAAGAAATTACTGAGTCATGAGATAAAACAAGATTTATAATTTTTATGACCAAATTGATATTCAAGAACACGTTACTAATGTATTACAATGTCAGCTGCGATATATTAATTTTTCTTAAATTTAATTTCTCAATTAATGTTGGTGAGGTATTTATTTTCAGTTTTTATGTACATTAAAAATGATAAGTTAGGCTGAACCTTTTGCCAAATATTTCTTTGTTGTTTGTGTTTCCTTTTGTATTCGCTGTTCGTGGATTCTGTCTGTCCACTCAAGACTTGACCTCACCTTGATGCATTTGTATTCTTTTCATATATATTCTGAAACCAAGTTCCCATAGGATACTTTTGTTGCAGATTTCCCCAGATTCTTTTTTTTTAAAGTGCAGTTTTCCTAGTATATGCTATATTTATATAGAACTAAACTCAAAGTCCTTAATACATTTATTATTGAATAAATTATAAATTTATTCTACTCTTATTTTCTTTCCAATTTTTTTATACTTAAAAAATTATCTCTTTAGCTCATTTAAAATGTGTGGCATGTATTTCCTATAGGATAGTTGCACACTTTCCTAAGGATATAGTTCTTACTAAGCAATGGTTGTTCCGTCTTTTTTTTTATCTTCACCTGAAGACATGTTTTGCATTTATCTTTAGATAGAGCAGGAGGGAAAGAGGGGGAAAAAGAGAGGAAGAGCAACATCGATGTGAGAGAGACACATCGACTGGTTGCCACCCACACGACCCCAACCAGGGCCAGGTACATGCCCTTAGCAGGAACCAAACCTGGGATTCTCTGGTCCACAGGCTGATGCTCTAACCACAGAGTCAAACTGGCCAGGGCCCCTCTTTTATTTGTTCAGGTTTGTTATAAAACTTCTATAGGTATAAATTTATTTCTGGCATTTTCATTGTTTCCTTGCCTGTATTTTGTTTTTAACTCTCTGCAATTTGGTATATGTGCTTCAATATGTTTTAAATTCTGGTAGAATAAGTTACCTATTATTTTCTTGTCCTCCCTCCCTCCCTCCCTCCCCCTCTCTCTCTTTCTCTTTCTCTTTCTTTCTTTCTTTCTTTCTTTCTTTCTTTCTTTCTTTCTTTCTTTCTTTCTTTCTTTCTTTCTTTCTTTCTTTCTTTCTCTCTCTCTTTCTCTCTCTCTCTCTCTCTCTCTCTCTCTCTCTTTCTTTCTTTCTTTCTTTCTTTCTTAATTCAGATAGGGTGGGTGGGAGGGAGAGAGAAGGAGAGAGAGAAACATCGATGTGAGAGAGACACATCTGACTGGTTGCCTCCCACACGACCCAGACCAGGGCCCGGGACAAACCACAACTGAGATGTGAGCCCTTGGCTGGAATCAAACTGACACCCATTGGCCTGCAGGCCGATGCTCTAACTGCTGAGCCAAACTGTCCAGGGATCCTTGTTCTTTTTAAAACAAGAAAGGAAACTGATGAAGAAGAAATACCAAATATTTCGCAATATCCCACAAATAAACATATACATTTAGTACCTTTTCTATCAGTTCTTTTGCTACATCATTTGTTTGTGTCTCATAAGTTAGAGGACATTCCTCAATCACAAGTCGTGGGCGTCTTTGTCCACTGGGTACTGCTGAGTGCTTCGCGCTGTAACAGAGAATATGTTCATGGTTAGAAGCCAATTGCTGAATTTAAGCTAATATGCTCACCTCCAATGAGTGAGCAACTCACAAATAAGGTCAAGGAAATAATTTCTCTGTTGTTATCTCAAACCTAATGGTTGTCTTCTTATGCCAAAGTACCAGAAACACAGTCACTTTTATTAACTTAAAATTCTTAATTTAAATTTCTATTGATTTAATTTCTAATTTAATATGGAAGAAAAATTTCATATCTGATGTTTTAACAAAAGTTATGAGAAATGATATTAGATTACTATTGTACCTCATTATTATACAAAAGCACAAGTAAAAATCTTATTCAAATGCAGATAAATATGCTGTATTTTTCCTTTTTCTATTTTTGTCGTCTTTACCCCTTACTTATTCCTAATCTTATTCCTACTAAATCCATGGTAAGAAATGCTAAAAGAGAAAAAAATAATGTATACATGGCTTATAAAGTTTGTAATTAGAAAATGTGTCACTACTGTGTGATGAGATGGCATGTTTAGCTTTAACTAGTAAGCGTCTGATGAAGGCCGCAGCCTGTATGCGCCTTCTCAGACTCCGACCAGTGGGCAGTTACTCCATAAAGACAGTGTCCCTTGAAAGCACACCTAGAAGTTTTTAAAAACTTTTTTTCCTTCTTCAGTTTTTCTGTTTTCTTCTTATTTCATTTTTTCTTCTCTGCTTAGCCCTTTCATAGTTAGAATAGTTGATTATTAAAGTCCATTACTGTAAAGAGAAAACACAGTTTTTACCCTGTCTTTGAGATGGTTTTGATATAGCTGGAGTGGTTTAAAAAATGTAATGTGTTAATCAAAGAAAATTGGTCTGGAGTTTTCATTCTTCGTGGGAAGGAGCAACAGTATTTGAAAACTTTCAGACTTACAAGCTCAGCTGGCAAAAATGGTTGCAGTATTGTTTGGAAAAGCAGCTATTTCAAAAAGTTAAAAAGAATAGATGGCTTTTACATCCTATATTTTGGAAAAAGCTGATAAGTGTTTTACCCAATTTGTGAGAACTTGGCATTTAGACCTTTCCGAAGTTAAAGTTTTAGAAGGTAGAGATAGTTTCTGTTGTCACTGTTAAGAAAACAACATAGGACAGTTCAGAAAATGCTCCGAGAAAGTGGACTAGGTTCTACGCTCGAGGACGTGTAGCTAACTTCCACCTGCACTTGCTGCCGGCGCTGGAGCTCCGAGGGGCTTCTCCAGCCCACTTCCCTCTCCCTCAGTTCACTAACATCCTCACCTAGGATCTGTTTGTCTGCAAGGGGCTAAAATCAACGAGGACTTGTAAGGGAGAAAACGGAAGTTTCCTTTCCCCAATCAGGTACAAGCGGAAAATGTGCCTTAAACCCAACCCCTACTTATCCTTTATTTCTGTCACTTAGTTCAAACACTCTGTTCTTGTCGCCAAAGAAAACAGCCGTTCAACAGCTTCAGAGCCTGACTGCTTTCTTGAGCAGCGGGCGTACCTTAATTTCAAGCGCCATAGCACCACCCTGTAGAGGTAACTTGCAGGTAGGTGTTTTCGCTGCCACACAGGTTGTAGGACAGGATGAATCGCCCCAACAATATAGCCTTTAAGGTAGTAATCTTCCACTTTTGTTACTATATCTGGAATTGAATTTATCTTGATGACTTCTGGGTTTGGTGAAGCTGAAATATCAAATGCAAAGAGAAATCTGCACATTCATGAAATTGAATTATGCATTATTTCTATCTATGTGTGATAATACTAATGAATAGAAAACACGGCCATATGATTTAATCTCAGATAAAGTTAAACCAACATGATTATATACTTTCTAAATTTCAGAAAAAAGCAGCAGAAACCTCATGAGCTGGTAGATATATAATATTACCAATATGTCTTAAATAAAAAAAATATAATGCCTTATATGTTTTTTTTTCAATTAAGGCAGCTTTGTTAGGATTTCATTTGACTGTATTTCCATTAATAGATATTGAAGACACACACAAGAGAAACAATATTAAGTTGAAAAGCCAATTGTTTTTATGATTCTGAACCAGATGAGATGCATACTTTCTTAAGAATCTAAAAATTAAAAATGGGAGAAATGATATCTGTTAAGTAAGAATTGTCATTTCCAATTACATTTCTAAACTATCGTGATTTTAGAGGGAGGGAGGGAGAGAGAAACATAGATGTGAGAGAGAAATATCAACTGGTTGTCTCTCCTATGAGTTTAGACTGGAGATCAAACCACAACCTTTTGGTGTATGGGATGATGCTCCAACCAACTGAGCCACCTGGCCAGGGCTAAGCCACCATGTTTTGTTTCTCTGGGAAGCTAAAAATATGATTTCTTATATAAAGGTTTGAGTAAAGGAATTGAAAAAGTAAAGGTATCCAGAAATTCTTTCAATAAGTAAGAATTCTAAATGCATAGGAAATGTAAATGTAAAATGGATATACAACTTAACCATCCCTTTGAAGCAGGGTACATCTTTAGAAACTACACAATAGTACAATCTGTAGTTTTTAGTCAAAGGAATGGGTTGTGTTACTTGGGAAAATGTTCTTAGTGTTCCAGCAGTATTAATTTAAGAAAAAGCTTTCTGTAACATTATTTCTCATTTTCTGGAAAACAATCAAGAATTAATATCTAGAAACAGATCTGCAGTTTGAGTATCTCTTAGTAACAACACATACGAATGCAGGTATGGGCAGGTGCTGGCTGTTGGCTGATGTCCGCGTGGTCAGTGACATCCAGCAAAGCACTGCTGCTAATGGCCCGGACACAGGAAGGAGGTTAAGAAGCAGAGAAGGAAGAAGGGTCAGAGGAAATCCTCTCCTCCTCTTACATTAACATCCATGCGATGGAACAGAAATCCACCATCTGAGTGAATTCATGCCAACTTCTCAAATGAAAGTATAGCACTGAATAGAAAAGTGATATAAACCAAGATGAATCCATTTCCTTAAATTTTCATCGTCTTTTGGATTTAAACTAATTGATTCATCCTATATTTTCTTCATGATTATTAATAGGAATAAAAACAGAGAATGATCCTAGACTTTGAAGAAATAGCTGGGCTTCATTGTGAAATGACCCAGTTCTACCTGGTGTGTGGCAATCACTCTGTGAGTCATTTGGTTTTACTATTTTTCAGTGTTTTCACTACCAACACTGATTTCCAAACAAAGGAACGAAAAAACCCACCAGATAGAATAAACTATTAAGACCAGGAATCAAACATAACCTACTTATTTTTAGAACTATATACGAGTCCTACAAAATTTTAAAGAAAATTTCAGTTCCTAATGAATCTCACGGCTTATTGTTGAAAGGGGAAATGCTTTCACGTGATACAAAAGATTCCTCATCGTCTGTCCTCTGCCTGCTTTTCAGGCGCCACTCTCGTCCTCCTTCCTCCTTGTATGTCTGGCTTGCAGGCCCTGGCTACTGGTCCCCGAAGCTGCACACTGTTTCGTGACTCCAGGCCTCATTTCCTCCCCTGCTCCGAGCCGGAGTTAGTCACTCTGTGCTGTGCCTTCCACCGCTGCGTGTATCAGGCTGCGTTCGAGTTACTTGTTCATATGTTTGTCTCTGCTGCTGGCTGAGAACTCCTTAGGGACAAGAAACCTACCTTATTTCTCTTTCTTTGCCTACCGTTTTCCTAGGTCATTATGTTAAGCTGGAAATACTATTTATCAAGGGAACTAAGTGGTGAAATTATTGTAGAAAGGCAGAAAAGTCATCAGGGTGAGCTAGTGGAAATAAAAAAAGTTAGGTCAACAAACTCAGGAACAGTTGTCAGGTCATCTAGGCCCTAAAGGAGGGAGACATGACCGGGAAGGAACACACAGGCATTGCTGTGCGACTGTTATTCTTTTGATCACAAAAGTGAAGGTGTCAAGGACCTTGTGAGAATCCAACCAGGTAGAGTTAAAAGTCAAACTCACTTCCGGCCCCACTTTATGTTCCTCAAGTTAATGATATTACAATGAAAAACAAAACAAAACCACATTTGCAAATTAGGTGAAAAGCAATAAGAGGCGGAGCTCCATGGGCGGAATTAGCTCCGTGTCCCCGTGTCCCTGTGGAATCTGGAGAGAAAGTTGGAGCGGACGGTGGCTCAGAGAACGCAGGGCCTGGGGGCTCCTGGACCTTGCTGGCCCCGCTTCTCCACGCACTTGGTTCTGTACTGTCTCAGCCAGTCTACTCTGGCTGCTTTGATCAGAAGGAACCCCCAGAAATCATGAACTTGGAGGTGGGAAGTGCCCTCTCCGGGAGCCGGGTCAGAGTTCACAGCACGGTCTTGTCTCTTTGCCAGAGAGAGCAGGGCAGAGGCCAACACGTAGAAGGCATTTAATGAATTCAAAGAGGTACTTAAACATAGACTATTATTAAATATAGAATAATTTAGAATATTTCAATTATTCTATATTTTCACCTGATGCTCAGCAGTTAGTAATATTACAGTTGACCCTTGAACAACACAGGTGTGAACTTCACGGGTCCACTTATGTGTGGATTTTTTTTTCCAGTAAATACTATAAATGTATTTTTTCTTCCTAATGATGTTTTCTTTTCTCTAGCTTACTTTAATTGTAAGAGTACAGTATATAGTGCCTATAATGTACAAAATATATGTTATTGACTGTTTATGCTACTGGTAAGGTTTTTGGTCAATAGTAGGCTATTAATAGTTAAGTTTTTTGGTAGTCAAAAGTTATACATGGATATTTTGACCGTATGAGTGTGGGGGTCAGCACCCCTAACCCCAGTGTTGTACAGAAGTCAACTGTACTTGACTATTTGAGTTCTATAATACCACCTTCATCATTAAAAATGACATGTTGTCTGGAGATGGATGGTGGTAATGGTTGCACAACAATGTGTATGTACTTTTTTTTTTTTCCCCCATTTTTTGTTCAGACAGAGGGGGAGGGAGAGAGAGGAAGAGAGAGAAAAAAAGAAACATCGACGTGAAAGGGACACATCGAGTGGCTGCCACCCACACGACCAACCAGGGCCAGGGACAAACTACAACCGAAGTATGTGCCCTTAGCAGGAACCGAACCCGGGTCTCTCTGGACCGCAGGCCATCGCTCTAACTGCTGAGCCAAACCAGCCAGGGCTCAATGTATATGCACTTAATGCCACTGCTGTACACCTGAAAATGCTTATGATAGTTAAAATAAAATTACTAATCAATAAGAAAATAGGAAGTCATAGTTGTTGGTGCATTGGTAATAAACTGAAATGTATTTCAAAAAGAATTTATCTCTCATATAGCCACAAAAACAGAATCAACCACCACACAAATAAATACAATGAAAGAAAACACTTACTAGATTCTAGCTAGATACTGTTATCTGCCAAAGACTCTGCGCAATAGCTCTGCTCTTTGATGAAAAGGGAAATTAATCATTAGAGAGCGGTGTTAAAGACATATTAACTCTAAACTGATTGGAAGGCTTAAAAGAAATGAATAGCACATAACTTTCTATGTGATTCAATGTTATCTAATTTTGTCTGTGTGTACAACTTAAAAGTATTTCATGTTCAATGCCAAGTCATTTGGTGTAGGTTTGGAGACCCACTGGATTAGAAGTAGCAGGGACATAATGATAGTAGCAAAGATGACATTAGAGGGAATAAAAGGAATTATAAACTAGGTAAAAGAACTATAAAAACTACAGTCTGGGGCACGTAAAGGGCCTTCTACACTTCATGAACTGATGCTATGGAAAGTCATTCCCTCCACTGTATTATTTCAGAACATGGTGTTCAAAGGCAGAGTTCTCTAACACGTTGAAAACAATCGCCAAGGAAATAGCTAAGACAGAACTGGTGCTCGGGGAGGTCCCTGTTCAGGTGGAGAATGCATTTCTAAGGAACATCTCATTGTCTGGCAATGTCAGAGAAATTTTGTGTCAGTGGAATAAATCCAGTTTTTCTGGCGTAATCCACAGCCCCTTGCACTCTCAGTAAAGGAAGGTTATTTCTTGAAACAATGCAAAAGAAATGTTAATGCACGAAACACACACATGCGCGCGTACACACACAAACTTTCTGGAGGATTACAAACTCAGAAAGCCAGAACATTTATAAAGGGAGAAAAAAAAATGTACATTAGTACTAATAAACATATCTTAAGAAACATATGTAAAGTTCATGTTTGTTTTACCCAGTGCTTTAGTTAATTATTTAACTGTCCCAAGTGTGAATGTTCTATCTGGAGGTCTGTGTCTTTTGATTAATAGCACTTAGCACAGACATGCCAATTACGGTAAGTGCTTAAGAAATACTCATTTAAAAACTAACTGCATGCCCTGGCTGGTTTGGCTCAGCGGTTAGAGCATCGGCCTGCGGTCTGGAGAGGCCCGGGTTCGGTTCCCACTCAGGGCATGTACCTCGGTTGCAGTTTGTCCCCGGCCCTGGTTGGGTCGTGCGAGTGGCACCACTTGATGTATCCCTTTCACGTCTATGTTTCTCTCTCTCTTTCTCTCTTCCTCTCTCTCCTTCTCACTCTATCTGAATAAAAAATGGAAAAATGTCCTCTAGTGAGGATAAAAAAAACAACACAAACAACTGCATGAAAAATTGGACATGATATTTACACATTCTCCTAACAGAGCCCCAGAGGAGCAGGGCCCTAGAGAACAGACTCCAGGACCATACTGT